GTCCTATAGAACTTTCTGTGGTGGTGGAAGTGTTCTGTCATCTACACCATCCCATAGGAGAGCCACAAGCCCCAGGGGGCTCCTGAACACTTGAAATGTGACAAATTTTATTGAATTCCAGTTAATTCCGATTTAAATGATACAGCCACTTGCCCCACTGTTAACCTCATCTCACTTCTGAAACCTCTGAAAGGAGCTGTCTTCGCAGTTAGCCGTGGAAGTGGGTTGCATGGGAGACTGTGAGCTTTGTGCTCTCACTTTGCAAGGATGCTGTATGAATTCCTGGGAATACGGCAGTGAGCAAGGCGCAGCCTCTGCTCTTACGTGGGTTACAGTCTAGCATGGGAGATATTTTATGAAGCCAGCAGTCATCCAAATTGTTCACTGACGATGACTGTGACAGAGAAGAAGGAACAGAGGCTATGGGACCATACCTTTGTGTAAGATTACTCAGAAAATTTAATCGGAGCTCTGTTGATTCACTAAAGGAGGAAAGCATGAAGCAGCTTCCCCTCCTCAAGTTCAAGGCTAGGTCAGGCTGGCTGCAGGACCCAGGGCCAGCAGAGTAGGGCAGCTACCCTGGGCCAAGCCCCCGTGACCTCCAGAGAGGTGGGGGTCTGTCTGATTCTGCTGCATGCGTGCACACACACACTGCAAACTTCTGAACCTGATCAAACAGATCCTCTGTGAAGCGAGGCAGTTGTGATGATGTCAGTCACAGATAAGACGTGAGAAGAAGGGTGCAAATGTTTACAGGATATTGCATTTCCTCCCCAATATATGTTTTGACAAAGTCGTTTGGGCTCCAGCCCCAGTTTTTTCCCCCTCTCTGCTCTGACAAATTTGTATTTGGTCCATTCAAGAAACGCTGTGGGAATCAGTCCTGACATCCCAGACAGACAAAATGAGACACATGACAGTAGAACATATGGCTCAAATAGACATCCTTATATGGCCAACACAGACCGGATTCCCAGAAATTCATATATGGAAAACGCCACCTGCAGCTACAGCCAAAAAAACAAAGAGTTGACGCGACAAAAAGAGCAATATGCTACGTAAAATGTGCTGCTTTAAGAGGGTAGAGAGATAGCCAACAGTATTTGAATTTAAAAAGATGGAACAAAAAAAAATGTCCTTAGAAAGTGCTCTGGTGGTAAGCATAGCTTTGCTCACACAGTCACTGGCGGATCTGCCACATCTTAAAAGCGTTCAAATTCTAAATGCTTTCTCTGTTTATTACCAACGTATGTGCTATTCAGAACACTGAATGTGTTTTAATGCTGTCGGATATCTGCCTGCATACTTATCTTAATACGGTGCCATCTGAAACGTGCAGTAGTCCTTTTATTATTATGTTCCCCCCCTAAAATCTTGTGTATGTGTTATAGTATTTTCCCTTTGCTACCTTTGTGTAGCCAGTCTAAATGCCTTGTCCTGTGATAAAAAATTGATGCACTCTTGTTTTCACTGTACATCCACATGTTAAATAGTTCATGTAAGTGATTTGCAATATTTCACTTTCTGGAGGTTTTCTATTTTTGATAGCTAGATTTCTAATTTTTTAAACTTTTTTTCCAATACTTGCGTGCATCTTTATTGCCAGATATAAGATGCCTGTGTAGAATAAATGGATGTTTTTCCGCCTCCAATGTGATAGTTTATTTTCACGTATGTCTAGAAGGGTGGTATTTTCCTAATTACCTTTCTTTTCTTCTTCTTTGTTTTAACCTGGATTCATACTGGCCAGTGCTCAGTGGTATTCTAAAGGGGTAAATAATATATAGGAAGTTGATCAGTGTACTGTAGCACTTGGAGGGCATAAACCTCTGTGCCAATTTCCTTATGTCATTTCTTACAGAGTTCTGAAATAAAGAATGTGCTTGAGGAAAATGAGTATCTATATGTGATTAATAGATTTATAATTGTACTATATCATTATTTTATAATAAAGCCATTATTTGATGCCTGTATCCTCATTTATTCTGTTTATCATTTTCCAAGGCCATATCCATCCTTTTACATCCTTTTACTTTTTTTATGTTTGACAATTAGTTTGTAATTCCTCGGTGAAAAGTGCTCTTCAAATTTAAAGATTAATATTTTAATCCTCATGTTATATTAGCATTGGCCAGGTCATTCGGAGGCTGAGGCAATCAGGAAGTTTTTTTTGTCTTAATTTTTTGTGTAAATAATGGGATAAACATCATTTACAATATTTTATTCCAATGTCTCTTAATCTTGATATTTCCAGTAACCATTTTTCAGTCTTTGCTCTTTGCTCAAATTTCATTTTGCCCAACAACTTTCTTCTCTTTTTCTTTTTTCTTTTTCTTTATAAAAAAACATTCAACTTGAGTTGAATTTGCATGGGTACATGATTTTTTGGTAGTCCACTTTAATTTTTCTCTACTTTTAAATTTTGCTATTGTTTGTAAATGTGTACGGTGTGGTACTAGAATGCATTGTCCCTACTGAAAATCAGGCAGGTTTCAGAGAAAAGAGTGAGGCATCACCAAGCTGAAGCGACTGAAATATTCACCTTGGAAAGTCCCAACTTAACCTATCTTATTGCCAAAATCATTGTCATGATAAAGGTAACTGATTGCTATCCATGTTTTTTAAATACCAGATATCTTCAAAAAATAAGTGTAAGTCATTCCATCCACAATACCAACTCTTGACACCACTGCTACATTTTGCCACGTTTACATATTTCCTTATTGAGTGTATTTATTATATTTTAATTAAAATATCCTCCTCCGTGCTTCTTCACATTTCAACTTTTAAAAATATGGTTATCACTTGGACTTTTTTTTAGTAATGATTGCCTTATATTTATTTTCTTGTTTTCGATGCTGTGTTTTGTGTTTTATCACATCCGTTCTTTTGCTCTAGGCTTGGGTTTGTATGTGCCAAGATTCACTGTTGCCTTCCTGGATTTTTGACTAACCTTTATGGTTTGTGGGTGAAACGTGGGTGCCATTAGAGTGATCTGTTTTCACTGTGTTTCTCCTGAACGTGTCCTCCCCAGGAGGTCATTATTTCCGGTACTTTATCTTCTGCTTTACCTTTTTCTGGTCTTAGATTTCTAATGCACAGTGTCTAAGAGTGAGTGGGTAGCTTTCAAGAGCGTAATTTGCACATTTCCCTCTTATCTCAGTACTTGCACTAACTTGTTGCTTTTTTATGTGTAACAAAATGCTTATCTGACTGATTTTTCTCTTTTCCCTCCTAGTGTATTCTGAAAAATAATTCTTATAACATTTTTGTTTTTGTTTCACGATTAACTTGCCTTCGGGGTTCTAAAATGTTCCTACTGAAACATAAGCGATAAACCCCGCATCTCTATTTTGAGCCAGACGGCAAGGTTCTTCATTTTTGTAGGAACTATGTTTAATAAATTATTTAAATAGGACGAGCATACTTGTGTGCCAATGACCATTTACCTACCCGGGTAATTTCTTTAGCTTACATAAATATGTTTTGCGGGTGTACTTGCCCACCCCAACTTTCCTCTCTCTCACCCGGTGTAAATTAAGAATGGTGGCATCTTTCCCTTTGTCAGGTTTCTTTCAAGTGACCCAAATTTTGTCTCACTCGGCCACTGTGGGCCATGTCCTTCTTCCTCCAACGTGTTCTCCGGCTCACAAGTGAGGGAGTTTTGAATCTCCCTCTGACTCGTACAGAAAGGCTTACTCATCTTTTTTGAACGTTGGTTCCTAACAGTTTAGGATTTTTACTCCTTTGAGGAGCAGTCTTTGCTAGAGCGTTTCAGGGATCCTGGCCTTTATTCCTCTGCAAACGCTCGTGCACCCTCCGCGCTCCTCCCGAGAGCTGGCCCTCCCAATGGGTCCCCTCCGGCCACTTCCTGAAGTCCCCCTACCCCGGCCCTCGGCGCCTGTCACCTGCCGCCCGGGACCTTCTCCTGCGGGCCGGTGCGCCCTGCCTGCTTCGCCTGTCCCTCGGGTGCCCGCCCCCGACGCTCCCGACGGATTCCTTTCGGTGGCTTTTGTGGCGCGTGGGTGGCTGGCTAGTTTCCCCCGGCCCTCGCCCCCTCCTCCCCATCACTTT